GGTGGTGATTTGGGCTTTTTGGGAAACTGTCAGACACCCTGTGCGATCGTCCGGTCATTACAATCAGCCTGATTGTGTTGCGGCTAGCAGCGCCAACTGCATGTCCAAGCTACAGCTATCGGGATCTGGAGCATAGACCTAGAACGACCGACGCTAAAGGCCTTGTGAAATCCTAGTGCATGGCATTCTGTAGCAACTTCACCCAAGCTCTCAAACTTTGTTTTTCAAGCTCCTGTCGAGGGTGCCAGTGTAATGCAGAACACCTCGGGACTGAAGCCTGATGACAAAGGGCTGCAGGTCATCACCCTTGTTACTCATCCTCTGCACCTTAAGGCTTCAAGAGTTTCTTGGGTTTAGGGTTTAGGGTTTAGGGTTTTTCAAACTGAGCTTATGACCCAAATCTGTAGCCGAGATCAATATCCAATAATATCCCTGAGTTCACTACCGAATGCAACGTGCCTTGCCGGCTGCCTTCTCCTTCTTCCTGCACATGGGTGCTGTGAAGAGAGGTCAGCACTGGCACGGAGTCTACCCCTTCTAAACGAAGTATCGATTTCAGCAGCCCCCAAAACTTTCCGGAAGTTAGGGTTCGATATTAAACAATCAAGGAAATGGGAAGTTTCCCAAATCGGTACCTACCCTAAACCCTAAACCCTAAACCCTAAACCCTAAACCCAAATCGGTACCTACGAAACTAGAAGATGCCTACGGTTTTCACCAGCTGTCGGTGTTGGGACCTTCTGTCTCGAGTTGGCTGCAAGCAAATGACGTCAAAGATGCATGAAAGGTTTTAGGGTTTAGGGTTTAGGGGCTTAGGGTTTAGGGTTTAGGTTTTAGGGTTTAGGTTTTAAGGTTTAGGGAAAGGTTTTTAGGTTGGGGCTCCAGAACACGTTTTACTCGTTGTGAAGGAAGCATCGAACCATGGCTGGTTCTCATATCGAACTTGGCCATTGCTGTAAGATTGGACCAGCTTGCTTCAGGCTGCCTGCAAGGCAAAGGGCTCTCTCTCTGCTGAGCCGTGCTACGACTAGCACATGTCTCGAGCAGACTTGTGCATGCCGCTACTCACATGCATGGCACCTGCTCACAAGAGGACAAGCAAGTTTCCTCAAGTGCAAATTTGCAAACCCCGAATACCTCCGAAGCGATGACAACCACGATCTTACGAAACCAGGCCAACATCTTAACGGACTCCAGACCAGGTTCTACAATGCATGACCTGATGCCGAAGATGATAGCCCGGCAAGCCCTGGAGGCCTTGCTCGAGCAGACTTTCCACTGGCCTGAGTCGTTCTATGCCCATGTTTACGACATCTTTTCACGTGTTTCTCTCCCTTCTTCACTTTTAGGCAGTGCGACGAGGATATGCTCCACTGGCGCAGTAGCTTACTAGAGAATGCCAAACGATGTCCGAGCTACTGGTGAATCTGTTAAACGCGGAATCCATCCCGGCTTGCAGGCCTGGGTTCAAGGTTCGCGAATTTAGTCTTTCGCGCGCAAGTGTGCTAGAAAGCCGGATGTTGTGGGTGTGAGATTCGGCACGGTTCTTTTTCTGCGTCTGGATCAAAACTCATGCAAAACTACCACGGTGCAAGGCAGAGCACACTCCGGCATTTTGTGTCCGCACGAAAAACTTCGCCGAAGCATTGCCTAGAAAATTCCTCTTATGTTCTGCAGACTGAACTACATGTCCAGAGACGCTTAAAGTCCTCAGCCCAAAAAAACACGGCAGAATTCCTTGTGAAAGGAGCCCCAGTCCGGGGATATTGACGGCTCGATAACCAGCCTTCTTGACCGAACAACGGAAAGGTGCTAAGTTAGCTAGTCCGAAGCCTTTTTTGCCAGAGCCAATATCTACACCCTTCGCATTTCTGAGCAGCATACCGACGAGGCCACCGACGCTGGGCGCTCCTCCTGTCAGACATCTGAATTTTCAATGATTATAGTTTTGTAGGAAAGATTGTGGACCTCAATCACGCTTACAAGCAGTGACGCTGATTCTGATTTCCGATTCTGTGTTGTCACCTTTCCATTGAGGCAGTATTTGCGAGCAGGACGAGAAAACCTACATGTCCACCTCGTACAAACATAGTGGTGTTCATTTTCACACACATCATCACCAGTTACCTTGTTGTGCTGGGGTGGCTGGATTTTCCTTTGGTAAGCTGTGCATGGGTTATCCGGATGATGCGCCGCTTGATGTCTTGCTTGCTTGCTTGCTTGCTTGCTTGCTTGCTTGCTTGCTTGCTTGCTTGCTTGCTTGCTTGCTGGCTTGCTTGCTTGCTTGCTTGCTTGCTTGCTTGCTTGCTTGCATGGCTCGCTCTCGCTCTCGCTCTCACTCTCACTCTCGCTCTCGCTCTCTCTCTCTCTCTCTCTCTCTCTCTCTCTCTCCTTCGCTCTTTCTCTCTCTCGTTCTCTCGTTCTCTCGTTCTCTCGTTCTCTCGTTCTCTCGTTCTCTCGTTCTCTCGCCCTCTCGCCCTCTCGCCCTCTCGCCCTCTCGTTCTCTCGTTCTCTCGTTCTCTCGTTCTCTCGTTCTCTCGTTCTCTCGTTCTCTCGTTCTCTCGTTCTCTCGTTCTCTCGTTCTCTCGTTCTCTCGTTCTCTCGTTCTCTCTCTCTCTCTCTCTCTCTCCCTCTCCCTCTCCCTCTCCCTCTCCCTCTCGCTCTCGCTCTCGCTCTCGCTCTCGCTCTCGCTCTCTCTCTCGCTCTCTCTCTC